CGAGGCACACAAGCAAACCACAGGGAGCAGCTCCGCCCGCCCTGGCGCGGCCCCACAGGACTCGGAGGAGGAGGAGGCCGATGACCAAGGCACCCGTCCGCCTTCCCGCTCCCTCGCCTCCCCTTGCCGTCCAACCATCGGGAGGCCCGAAAAAGGTGCGGGAACCATGGGGATGATGCCCGTTGTCCAAAACCGACCCGAGCCGCTGCTGGGCAGGCGCCCTTCTGTCTCGAGTGGACAACGTCCGCGGAGACGCCAACAGCGAGCCCTATTCCGAGTGAGCACGACATGCTGTCGGTCCTGGTCCTCACTCTGTCGTTCCCCACTCCTATCAGACCACTTGCCCTCCGACCCGAGACCTGCACCTCCGCGTAGTGGTTCCCGGCGCCCAGGGTCCCCATCTGGGGCAGCCCGCGCTTCTTGGCCCGCGCGGAGACCTTGCCATCGCTCGGACGTGTCTTCCACGTGCACTTTTTCGACTTCGTGCGTGTCTTTTTCCGCAAGGTGATCCAAGCTTCTCCTCGATGGTCCTGGCTGAAAAAAACACACACGCACACGTCCGAGCGATGCCAAGAGACCTTGGAGGGGTCGGCGTTGAGCATGCGGCCGTACTCCTCGCAATGCTCCTTGTCCTCGGGCGCGCGGCGGCCCCGCCACTCCGCTCCCGACGCCCTGGCGTGCAGCCATGGTGCTGCCCGACGGAGCGCCGAACGAGGAACGAGCGGGCTCTGCTCGCGACGGCGAGCTCCGGCCACGGGCGGGCCCGCCGTCCTCGATCTGTGGCCGGAGGGGCGGCTCGAAAATCGCAGCCCGTCCTGAGCCCACAGGGGCCCCAGGGGCCGCCAGACAACACGGCCCTGGCCGCGAGGCCGGCCACCGGGGCAAGGGCGCGTGCTCTGGGGGCCCACGCCACACAGCAGGCATCATGGCGCCCCACGCAGGCCCGGCTTTGCACAGCGGTCCTTCTTTGTCAACGTCTTGGGAGGAGGAGGAGGAGAGGAGGAGGAGGAGGAGGAGGAGGAGGAGGAGAGGAGGAGGAGGGGAGGAGGAGGAGGAGGAGGAGGAGGAGGAGGAGGAGGAGGAGGGAGGAGGAGGAGGAGGAAGGAGGAGGAGGAGGAGGGGAGGAGGAGGAGGAGGAGGAGGAGGAGGAGGAGGAGGAGGAGGAGGAGGAGGAGACTGTGCCCTTGCGTCGCTCGTCGAGCCGTCGGGAGCGGGCCGCGGGGCCGCGCGCAGCGCCGCGCAGGCGCTCGCGGGGAAGGCGGCGCTCCCGCCTCGGCGAAGGGCGCAGGAGTGCCTTCGCCGCTGAAGCGGGTGCGCGCGCGCGAGACAGCCGAGCTGTGCCTCCCCGTCGCTCGGGCGTCCTTTCCCTGTGCTTTTTTCGGCTTCGTGCGTGGCTCTTTCGCAGGACGATCCAGGATGCTCCTTGATAGTCCCCTCGAGGAAAAAAACAGACGTCCGCGCGTTGCCAAGCGGTGCTCCCACGGAGGGGCCGCGCAGGCAGCCTCTCAGAGTTCCACCCCCGCCTGCGCACGCCCAGGCGCCTCCATGGGGGCACCGAGGGCCACCCACAGGCCGCTGAGGGCAACTACAGGACAGTGTTTAATACATGGGATTTTTTAAACTACAGGATTCTTAATCCATGACTAATTTCTGAATGAATATATGCATGAGCTCATCGTTGTTTTTTAATACTAAATCCCTGCATTTCTAATACATGATCCGCACGCGGAGCATGTATTAAAAACGGCAGTGTATAGTGAAGGGGCCCTGGGACACACACACAAATAAGTGCACACAAAGATAAGGGTTCCCCATCTTTTCTCTATATTTTTTCTCCTCCGGATATAGAAGAAGAACAGCAACAGCACATAACAACAACACATAAACATAAACATAAACACAAGAAGAAGAGCAGCAACACACACACAAACATAAGCTTTTGACGCTCCGCGCGGACTTCTTGGCTTCGCGCGGGACCCCGAGCGCGCCAGGAGCGGCGCCGGAGGCACTGCCGGGGGGCCCAGGCGCGGGGCCAAAAGTTTACTTTAAGGTGGTTTTTCTTATTCGAAACGAAGACCATACGTCAATGTGATTAATGTCGGGTGTGGTCTACGTTAATGTCTTCTGAAGGTGCTTGTTAACGTTCATGTCCATGTGATCCATGTGCTTCATGCGATCGATGTGCTTAACGTCAATTGGGTCGATGTTCAACCCGTCATACGAATGTCTTCTTCGAAACGAAACCGACATTCTTCGGAACAACAATCAAGGGGACGTAAGACCTGGGTACAGGGGACTCGGAAATCTCCGACGAGCTCGTCAAAAAAATGACGAGGCCGATCCTGCATTTTGACGAGGTCTCCCGCTGCAGACATCCCACGAAACTCCTCCTCGTCAAAATCCGAGGCGCGGTCGTCAAAAAACGATGGCGAACCCGAGTCCTGGCAAACCCGGGTCTTACGCTCCCCCGATTCTTCGGAACAACAAAACCATACGACATGAACACCCCGCAGGGGCTACCCGAGCCAGGTCGTCGAGAGCGCGAGGCCACACGAGAGCGCCCCCGCTTTCGCGAGGCGCGGGCGCGCGCGCCGGCCCAGGAGTCTCCGGGGTTCTCCCTCTCGCCATCGCTCGGACGTCCATGCCCTGTGCTTTTTTTTCGGTTATCGTGCGTGGCTTTTTCGCCAGGTGATCAAATATGCTCCTCGATGGTCCTCGCCGAAGGAAAAATGCACACGTCCGAGCGATGCCAAGCCCTGCGCGGGCCCTTCTCTTATAGGAAGGGGGGCCGGAGTGACGGGGCCAACAGACTCGCTCGAGCTGGTTAGCTCGACTTCAACTCCTACACTTGCTGTTCCCCATGAAATGCCATTGTGGTATGCTCATTGGAATTCCAAGGGAATCCGTCGAGACCGGCTTCTGGGGAGTGGGGGCAAATATGAAATGGTTGACTTGACTATTCCCCCTGTACCCTTTTCTGGGATCCAAGACCGCACCGTTCCTTAACTCATCCTCTGGGCGCTCAGACCCCTCCGGAATACCCAACCATGCCTCCAAAGTCTTCGAAATGTTTCAGGATGGCCACATTGCCGCGTCGAAGGCCTCGGAGGCCAAGTACGGATCTGAAATGGCCCCAAAGCTTTGACACAACGCTACGGTTGTCCAAGGAGGTCTCCGGGAGTTCCAAGATGGCTGGGCGGAGGGCTCTGGAGAGCCCACGGTCGTCTCACTCTCTCCGAAACACGTCTCCGAGATGGGCTGCCGAGGCCTCCGAGGAGACCGCGGACGGCCCAAGATGCAGCCAACGTTGCCCCAGAGTGAGTATCGTTTATCCGATCTCCATCTCCAGCGGCGTGGCCTGGGCCCCACAGGCCGATTTACCCCCCTGGATGGGAATATAGGCCGTTCCCTTCGGGTTTCGAGGGGTGTATCCCCAACTGGGGGGGTCATTTGGTGGGGGTCTCGAAGGGGATGGGGATGGGGATGGGGATCGGTTAAACGATACCGACAGAGGCTCCCAGCTGGCCTCCAAGATGGCCCCCAGCTGGCCTCCAAGACTACCCAGGATCGGCCCCAGGCGTCCAGAGGAGTCCACACTCAAGGGGCCCAATGACAAATAGATACACACCAATAACAGGATTCCCCATAGATCCCCATATTTTCTGGATTTTCGTCTCCCCCCCAACTGCCCTGGGAGTCGACGATTAATTGTGTCTGTGTTTTTCCCCCTCTTGACACACGTGCCCCTCAAGCCTTCGAAACTGCCCCAAGACACCCGAAGGGCCGCCAAGATGGCTGTCTCAAGAGACCCAAGAGGGCCCTCACGAGAGCCTCAGACGGTACATGTTACGATACTGAGCAGCCGACGAGCGCCCTGAGAAGAAAACCCGAACGAGCAACACGAGCCATCTTCACGAGTTCCGTCTCTTGGGTGTCGGCTGCATGGCGTAAGCTTCTAGAGTAGCCAGAGTTGCCATAGGAATACACAGGAGAGCCATCAGAATAGCTCCAGAAGGGCGACAGGAATAGCTAGGACCGTGCAGGGGCAACATCTGAAGCCAGAAACCGAACGTCGTATCCATTCCTCAAAGCTGCATCAAGAACTGCAAGCCTGGCTACGTCAGGAGAACATGGAGCATGGAACGTTGCTAGATCAATGCAGTCTAGATGCCATGTGCATGCAAAGGATTGGTTGGTGTGACGTTTGCGCTCCCAGCCCTTAGAGAGACGCGGCCGGCGCTGTCCTCTGGCCAGGAATAACCCTCCCTGAGAGACCAGTCGATGCCCAGCTGCAGCGCCTCCTCCAAGTCGGACGGCTTGGTCGGGATTATGCCCTGGGAGCCGACTCCGACAGGTATGTGATCGAACATGGCCTGCGCCAACTGCTCCTTGATCGGCTCAACGTCGGATAGCAACAAGTTGGTCCGCAACAGCCGGACACCGCAATTTATATCGAAACCTACGCCGCCAGGCGAAACAACTGACTCGGGGAGGCTCATGTCGAACGCTGCCGCGTTACCAATCGCAAAGCCATAGCCGCTGTGGACATCTGGCATCGCCACCGAATACTTCACGATTCCTGGCAGCGCCGCGACGTTCGCAATCTGCTTCGCCGCGGGCAGAAAGCCACCCTGCGTGTGCGAATGGCGCGCGTAATTCCTGATCTCGTCGAGCATCATACCCTCAAGGGCATGATTCACATAGAAGCGACCCTCAACCTTCATGTTGGGGACAAAACCTTTCTTGATAGAAAACATGGAATCCGTCTCTCGCTTCAGGAACGCCATCTCCTCGTCGTAGGTCCGCTTCGTGTCCATCGGCTCTGGCTCGGCGTCCGGCTTGTCGCCACTCTTGTCGATGTCGTCCATGGCTGGCGTCCCTTCCCCTGTCCGGTGCCCCCGGCCACACTCCTCAGCGATGCTCTGGCATCACGTCACCTGAGGAAAATAGGCCTTGAGCCATTACGCCATGAACCATGATGTTTAGGAACCCTGACTTCGAAACCGTCTATGGCACCAGCACGGGCAAACAAATCAGAGCGAGGGGGCCGAACAGTTTTACACCATCCCTAGGCTCGTGGCTGAAGTGAGCTTCTTCAGGTGAGCGTTTTTTCATTCGGCGTTTCGACATTGGGCCGAAAGGGGTGGGGGAGGAGGGGGTCTGGCTCCAGACCCCTGCTCAGTGCGACTATTTGCAAGAGTTCGGCCTCTGGGGGAGACTCCACACGCTCGAATCAGGCGCCCCAAAACAGCCAAGGTCCACTCCCTGGGAGGGGGAGGGGGGGGGAGGAAGGCCGCGCCGATTGGCAAAACAATGAGTACAGAAACGATCACCAGCGCGTAGATTATTGCTGCTTGTTTGTTGCTTGTTCTGCGCCTGCCTACCTGGGCGTGCGCCTGCCTACCCCCCCGCACTCCCCCGTGCTGCCTCTCTCCACTGACGGGTCGCGACGCTGCGCGCGCTGCCTGTCGTCCCCCCATCAGCGCTTGCACTGAGGGGGTCGTAGCGGGAATTGAAAGATTTGGCATGCCGTCTCCCGCCGACTTTGGTGGCCAGCTGGGTTCCCGGGTTCCCGGCTCCGGGTCCCCGGGTTCCTGGTTATTGGTTCCGGGCCGAATTCGGTGGGTTCCAGGTTCCCGGGTTCCCGGTCGATCTCCTTGTCGATCAGACGATCCACTGATTGGGGTTTTCTCTGGTGTAATACGCTAATGCGGGTCCGCGCTCCAGAAATCAACATCCTTGCTGGGAATCGCAACAGTTCTGGGCGCCCGAAGCCACAGTTCCTGATATCAAATCGAGCCAGACTCGCAGACCTGCAGCCCATAGCGAATTCCTCCAGACTCGTGCCCACGAGGCCACCATCCGTTGTAGATGTTGCCAGGCCCACGCTCCCGATGCCACGAACAACGGAACTCACATCACGCTCGCGCTCCCGAAGCCACAATCCCTTTCTAATTAGAATCTAGCATCGGCGGCGCGCCCGGGGGAAGTGAGAAGGGGCAGGTCTTCTCAGAAGAAGGACTTCTCAGGAGCCCTCCCACCTTCTCAAAACTTCTTTGCGCCTCCAGGGCAAGCTTGGACAACTTCTCCCAAGGCCGGAGGCCTTCCGAGCCTTCTGCCTTCCGAGAAGGCCCGCGGCCTCTGCACTCCCGAAAGGTGCGTCCCCGCTGGCCCTCCCGAGGCCGCAATCACCTGCAAGTTACTGCGCCAGAGTCGCGCTCCCAAAGCGAAGATTCCCTGCCAAATACAAACCCTTTGTGAATCGCAACCTCAATAACTCACGCCAGACTCGCGTCCGCAAAGCCACAATCCACAATACATTGCACCAGTTCTCCGCTCCCGAGGCCAATCCCGAATACATAGATACAAGAGCCTGCGGCCCCGAAGCCCAAACCCTTCTTCAATCCCAACCCCTTGGCGCCTAAGCAGGCTGAGCAGGCCTCAAACCACAACGCCAACCAAATCACACCCGACCCGCGCTCCCCAAGCCGCAGCCCGTCGCAGCTGACACCGGCTTCGGAGGAGGAGGAGGAGGATGATGAGGAGGAGGATGAGGACGAGGAGGAGAATGAGGAGGAGGAGGAGGAGGAGGAGGAGGAGGAGGAGGAGGAGAAGGAGGAGGAGGAGGAGGAGAAGGAGGAGGAGGGGGGGGGAGGGGGAGGAGGTGGAGGATGTACGCCCTCGGAGCGACCGGCCCCCTCGTGACTCACCTGCAGCCCTGGCGCTCCCGAGGCCGCGCACGTGCCCGACGGAGGTCGCCCACGAGAGCGCCATCCCTCCGCAGAGCAACGGTCGGGCGTTGGCAGAACTGGGTTTCGAGTGGAACCTGGTTTAGTGATGTGCACCCTGGGGCGCCCCCCCCCCCGCCCCGTTCCGCGAACCGGAACTGCCGTCACCCGAAAGACACCAGTTGCGGCAAACCTGGTGGAGTGAATCTGGCCAATGGAGGGGCCCCAGGGCCCTACCACTGACCGGGTCCCCTTACCCGGGGTCCGGGCTATGCCCGAAACGGGAGACTGCCGCCTTCTGCATTCGGGATCTCTGCGTACCGCGGGGGCGCTCGTGGGCCCCCCCCGTCGTTCGTTCCCCGAGAAAGGTCGGCCCTCGGGACTCGAGGCACCGAACGGCCGTACATCCTCCACCTCCTCCCCCTCCCTCCCCTCCTTCCTCTCCTCCTCCTCTCCTCGTCCTCCTCTCCCTCCTCCTCCTCCTCCTCCTCCTCCTCCTCCTCCTCCTCCTCCTCTTCCCCCCTCCTCCACAATTACTCAATATGAATACTACTCTCCCTCTTCCCCTGATGACGTCCTGGGAGTGTCCGACCCCCCCCCCTGCATATGGTTTTTTTACACAAGAGGTTTCCCCAGAGTTGGGTTTTCGCCTGCATTTTACCTAACAGCGAAGACTGATAGGTTTCTAGTGGGGTCAAAAGAGAGCATCATGACTCCCCAAGGGGGTCTGGGCAGATGCCGGACGGGTGCCGCGGGAATCCGGGGACTCCTCTTTTAGCCAACAGTAACGCACTTCGTGGTCTTCGAGTTCCCAGAACTCCATTCCTGGGCATGATTTTGAATGCCCGGAGCCAGCTGTAGGCCACTTCGTGTTCTTCGAATTCCCAGAACTCCATTCCTGGGCATGATTTGAATGCCCGGAGCCAACTGTAGGCCACTTCGTGGTCTTCGAGTTCCCAGAACTCCATTCCTGGGCATGGTTTTGAATGCCCGGAGCCAACTGTAGGCCACTTCGTGGTCTTCGAGTTCCCAGAACTCCATTCCTGGCATGATTTTGAATGCCCGGAGCCAACTGTTAGGCACTTCGCTGTTCTTCGAGTTACCAGAAACATTCCCGGGCCACATTTTGAATGCGAGGAAGTGAGGCTGAGGCTGAGGCAGGCTGATGCTGAGAGGCTGAGGCTGATGCAGGCTGAGGCTGAGGCAGGCTGAGGCTGAGGCCGAGGCCGACGGCAGACTGAGGCTGAGGCTGAAGAAGGCTGAGGCTGAGGCAGAGGCAGGCTGAGGCTGAGGCTGAAGCTGAGGCAGGCTGATGCTGAGGCAGGCTGAGGCTGAGGCTGAGGCTGATGCAGGCTGAGGCTGAGGCAGGCTGAGGCTGAGGCCGAGGCTGAAGGCAGACTGAGGCTGAGGCCGAAGCAGGCTGAGGCTGAGGCTGAGGCAGGCTGAGGCTGAGGCTGAGGCAGGCTGATGCTGAGGCAGGCTGAGGCTGAGGCTGAGGCTGATGCAGGCTGAGGCTGAGGCAGGCTGAGGCTGAGGCCGAGGCTGAAGGCAGATTGAGGCTGAGGCTGAAGCAGGCTGAGGCGAGGCTGAGGCAGGCTGAGGCTGAGGCTGAGGCTGAGGCAGGCTGATGCTGAGGCAGGCTGAGGCTGAGGCTGAGGCTAATGCAGGCTGAGGCTGAGGCAGGCTGAGGCTGAGGCCGAGGCTGAAGGCAGACTGAGGCTGAGGCTGAAGCAGGCTGAGGCTGAGGCTGAGGCAGGCTGAGGTGAGGCAGGCTGATGCTGAGGCAGGCTGAGGCTGAGGCTGAGGCTGATGCAGGCTGAGGCTGAGGCAGGCTGAGGCTGAGGCCGAGGCTGAAGGCAGACTGAGGCTGAGGCTGAAGCAGGCTGAGGCTGAGCAGGCTGAGGCTGAGGCTGAGGCTGAGGCAGGCTGATGCTGAGGCAGGCTGAGGCTGAGGCTGAGGCTGATGCAGGCTGAGGCTGAAGCAGGCTGAGGCCGAGGCCGAGGCTGAAGGCAGGCTGAGGCTGAGGCTGATGCAGGCTGAGGCTGAGGCAGGCTGAGGCTGATGCCGAGGCCGACGGCAGACTGAGGCTGAGGCTGAAGCAGGCTGAGGCTGAGGCAGAGGCAGGCTGAGGCTGAGGCTGAGGCAGGCTGATGCTGAGGCAGGCTGAGGCTGAGGCTGAGGCTGATGCAGGGTTGGGAAAAAGGGGGGGGGGGGGCTGAGGCAGCTGAGGCTGAGGCTGAGGCTGAAGGCAGACGATGCTGAAGGAAGCAGGCTGAGGTGAGGCTGAGGCAGGCTGAGGCTGAGGCAGGCTGAGGCTGAGGCTGAGGCAGGCTGAGGCTGAGGCTGTGACTGTGACTGCCGTTGCCACTGCGTCTGTCATCGCGAATGCGACTACGACTGCGAGAACAGCAGAATTCTACAACTGGATTCTCATCTGAATCTTAAGGGGAATGCTTCCAGATATGCTCCTACACATCGCTGTTAGGTTGCTTTGCGGGCATAACGATCTTTTTCAAATGATGCTCTCGTGATGGGCCGGCCTCATTTTCGGGCCCCGCCGTCCGAATTCGTTACCGCTGACAGCGTCGCTCCGGCGTGTCTCCGCTCATTCGAATCGTGCTCCTCTGCAGCGCTGCCTCATTCGCGCTTCCGCTCGTATCGGACTTCGTGCTCCCCCCCTCCCTATTGCTTGCAAGCGCTGGCGTCATTTTCCCGTGCAATGCCCACGGCATGCAATGCAATGCTCTTGATACTACGCTTGCGGTGCTCTTCTACGCCATGCAGCCGTGCTATACAATGCACTCGGCGTACCTTTGGGGATCATTGTAATGCTACTACGACATCCGACTGTGCGAGTAGAGAGGGGATCTGCCCTGGAGGGATCAGGGAGAGGGAGGGTTATGATGTCAGATTATGACGCGAGAGTGCCCTAGTATACACCCCCCTCCTCCTCCTCCTCCTCCTCCTCCTCCTCCTCCTCCTCCTCCTCCTCCTCCTCCTCCTCCTCCTCCCACTCCCCCTCCCTCCTCCTCCTCAAGGCACCGGACTGAGGGGTGCGCGCTCCGGGAGCCTCGAACCCTTGCAAATTCTAATGGACGTACCCTCCGGAGGCCACCAACCCTGATGAACTATTGTAGACGCGCGCAATCAGCCAACCAGCAAACAGACCAGATCAGTTAAAATACATATTCAGACAACAAGCTAATCAGCCGAGTTGCTAGCCAGCCAGCCGACAAGAGGGCCAACCCACCTGCCAACCAAGCGTGGCCAT